TGCATTAAGCCTCAGGTGAATCCCTTCTGATCATAGTTGAGGGATATGCATAGCCCTGTTATCAGACAGAGAGCATTGTAAATTATGGCAGCTATAGGAGGTCAAAATGTAATATCATGATTTTATCTCCCTTTAGACACAGTTTAAAGCTGTTTCAGTTTAAGGAAAAAAGGGTGGGATGATTACACATGGAGTAAGCCCCTGGAGAATCCCTTCTGACTATGGACCAGGGGTGTGAACAGCCTTCCTAACATGAAGAATGCATTGGAAAGTGGATTGGTGCAGATACAGTTAGGTTCAAATTTAGGACCCTGTCACTTGATCTGTCTCGAGCCATTTAAAATTGTTCTGGTTTTTCATATTTTTTGCTCTTTTCAATTGGTTTTCATCTGTTTTACTTTGTTTTTCTTGCTAGTTTTTGTTGTTTGTGAATGTTTTTCTGTATAGGAAATCCAGGATAAATCTATAGAGATAGTACCTGGTTTAATGGTCCCTTGGGGGCATTGCAAGGGTACTTCAGGGGAGATGAGAAGCTAATAATGAACACAAGAAGAAACTATTCTAAAATGGTGGTGATGATCATATCTCTTCTTGACGTGACTGGACTATTGGATTGTATGATATGTGAATTATATGCCCATAAAACTGTTGGGGGAAGAAATGGGAGGTGAAAGAGGGTAGTTCTAAGGGTAAGCTACAACTATGTGACTAGTTGCAGATATGAAGTTTATAATTGTTAGGAATATTTCTCCCTTATGTGTGTGTGTTTGTGTATTAGGCCAGGTTAACTAGAGAAATAAACCCAGAAACACTCATGTGTGTAAGAGAAAGCTTTTTATCAAAGAGCAATTGTATATTGAGAAAACATCCTAGCCCAGTCCAGATCATGTCCATAAATCCAATGTTAGCCAATATCTGATACTAGTACATAAATCCCTCTTTAGACTCACTCAGCCACATGCAATGATGCCCAAATGCAGGAAGATCACAGGCCAATGGCTGAAAAGTCCTGTGGATCCAGTGGCAGTGGAAACATCTCAGCACTGGCCTGATGTTCCCCCAACTCTCTGGGTGTGGCTTCTCTGGCTTGTCAACAGGAATGTGTGTGGTCCACCTCCAGGAAGAAAATGAGGACGTTCCCAGAATCCTCATGAGAAGACCACACCCACAAGGAGGCATCATCAGGCTGTGGCCTGATTGACAGGCTAGATGCCCTAGACCTATTTATCAAGTTGATATGAAATTATGTAACTACCACTGTGTGCATCAGACATATAAATTCTTCCCTTATAAATTATAAGATGTAAATATGGCTAGTACATTTTCAGTTGTACATATTTGTTTTATCACATTAGGTACAAATATGATTTCATAATTGCCTTTACTTGGAGATTATGTATGGTTTAAGGAGATACAGGCAAGTGCCAAGTTCACTATGATGGTTACCATTGTGTGTTAACTTGGCTGGGCCATGATTCCTATTTGTTTGGCAGTTATGATAGAATCATCCCCATAAAGACATCTAATATAATTTAGCTTCTATGATGAGATCTGCTATGAGCAGCCAGTCAACTTAAAGGGAGTTTTCTAGGGAGTGTGGTCTGCTTCCAATAAATTCAAACACTCTGGGAAAGCTCTCTAGCATTTTTCTTGTTCTGGATCATGCATCTAGCTTGTCGTCATCTGCCCTCCTGTTCTTTGCATTTGAGCCCGGAGCCTGCTCTGTTGCCTGCTGTCTTCCCTGCTAATCTTGGATTCATCTATCTCTGCAGACAGCAGCCTGCTGTTAGCTGCCCATCTTACTTGCCAATGTTGGGCTTTCAGATCTGCAGCTACAGGTGTCCAGAGAAGCCCCCAGCCTAACACCTGTCCCACAGACTTGGAACTTGCCATTCACTACAACTGATAATCCATTTCCTTGAGAAAAATACATACATATATGTATATTTATATTATGTATTATATAAAATATATATATATAAAATCACTGTTTTGTGTGTATGTCTGTGTGTGTGTTTGCACATAAAATCACTGGTTTTGCTTCTCCTAGAGAACATAGACTCAGACACTTGCTGATCCCTTAAGGGCACCTTACTGGCTCCATCTCAGAAAATGTACAAAGCAAATGCATACAATGTTCAGGTCTAGAGTTTTTATTTAGTAGCCTTTAGTGCCGAAGTTCCACCAAGGATTTGGAAGGTCCCTCTTAGAGGCCACTTCTGACAGGACAGCAGCCAACAGCCAGCAGGCAGAGCATATACATAAGGCAGAAGAAGCCAGCTGTCCACAGATGAATGCACTGCAGTTGTTGAAAACACTCATGTCATTGACCAGTGTTCCCTCCGGAAAGTATAGAGGGTGCTCAGGCAGTGAGTGGAGTTGCCAAGGGTCCTCTCAGCCAGCAGGCCAGCGAGTGCACTGTGGAGGAGAGGGAGGAGGCAGCCCCAGCCATTGCTTCCAGCCCTGCCCCTTTGACAAGCACGGGAGAGAGAAGAACAAACAAGGGAAGTGACATCAAGGCAGCGCCGAGCAGCAGGTGCTCTATGTTTGCTCCCTGTCGCATGATGAGCTGTTCGCAGAAGGGCTCTTGCCAAGGGACTCTGCCCTTTTCTGCAGAGGCCAGCGTGCCTTGTGACCAGGCTAGGACTACAGAGTGGAGACCTTGGGAACCAGAACCCCCCGCCCCCCAACACTGATACCCCCTCCCTGTGGACTCCCTCCACCACAGCCCTTCTGGAAAATGAAGAAGCCAAAAATAAGTGCTAATTGGGAAAGGTTGGAGTGTCACACAAAACCAAGAAATAGAGCAACACATACCACTATACAAGTCCAGGGGAGTGCTCCAGAAAGTAAAGCACAGGAGCCAAATACAAACAAAAATACCGATTCAGAGAGAACGGGATCCTGGGGCCTGAGAGACACCACTCACAGACTTTGAGCAGATGTGTGTCAGTTACAGAAAATAGCCTCAACCCTACGATAACAACTACAGGGGGGCCTGTATTCGCCAGAGAAGCCAGCTCAACGCCCTGCCTCCGGGAGCCAGCAGATCAGGGTAATGTCACAGGCAACTCCTCACTTCTCCAGCTCCTTGGGAAGCCACCATTTGAACCTCAACCCACACCTACAGAAGGGTCTTCCTACAGTGGCAAGCCACTGCCAGGGTCAAGTAGGCATCTAGTCTGGCCTGGCCTCGACCAAGTTCAAATCAAGCCCCGGGCAAATGTGCTTACATTTTCTAGCCAATCAAGTGCCTGTCCATTTAAATTATCCCCGCAATTGTTTAAAGTTGCATTTCTCCAACAGAGTAGAACTGGATCTGACAAGGAGGAGGTTAAAAAGCAGAGGGTAGTACTATCTAGTACTTCCCTTGCCCTTCAAAGCTATCTAGTACTACCTTACCCTTGAAAGGAGAAATTATTGCATCTGCATATATGGACATACAGATACACATGCACATCCATACACACACACACATATACCTACGAACACACATATGCATACACACACACGCATACACACACACACATCTACAAACATGTACATACACACAATATTCCCTGATACTCGAAATTCTTTGTGAGCTCTTGCTGTGGTTACTGGGTACGTAGTCGAGTCAATGCTGACCAACAGCAGAATGAAGCACTGCCCACTCCGCGTCCATCCTCACGACCACTCCTAGGTTTAAGCCCACTTTGCAGCCACTTTGCCCATCTGTCTCGTTGAGGGGCTTCCTTTTTTCCCCCCTGACTCCCTCCTCTCACAAGCACGATGTCCTCCTCCAGCGTCTCCCTAATGCGCCTGAACGATGTGAGCGGAAGTCCTGCCATCCATGCCTCTCAGGAGCGCTCGGGCTGTACTTCTGCCAACACACACCTGTTCATCCTCCAACAGTCCAGTGGCGCATTGAATAGTTTCATCAACAGCATCTTTCAAAGGCATCAATTCTTCTTCAATCTTCTTTGCTCGTTTTCCAGTTGTCCCTTGCATAATGAGGCAATTAAAATCCCAGCACTTGGACAGGCACACCTTAGTGTTCAAAACGACGTCTTTCCCTTTTAACACTTAAGAGACCTTTGGCAGCAGGCTTGCCCAATGTAACATGTCATTCAATTTCCTCACTTCCATGGGCATTGATTGCTGATGCAAGTTAAATGAAATCTTTGACCATTTGGAACTTTTCTCTATTTATTGTGACGTGGCTTGTTGGTCCAGTTGTGAGGATTCGGGTTTTCTTTATGTTGAGGAATAATCTATATTGAAGGCTGCACCGTAGTCTTGGAGCTATGTCAGTAAATGCTTCGAGTCCTCTTCCCTTCCAGCAAACGAGGTGGTTTCGGTACATATTGCAGGCTTCTTGAAGGGCAATCAGCCTTCCTCCAATCCCCATGCTGTGTTCCTCGTCATACAGCCCCGCTTCGCAGGTTAGTTGACTAGCACACAGATTGCATGAATGTGGTGAACAGACACAACCGTGACACACTCGTCTGTCAATCTGGCATACAGTGGTGGCTTGTATTTGTCATCGTGTCCTGCCTAATCCTGCTAAACCCTTGAAAGAAAGAAAGAAAATGGACTGCAGACATGTGTATACTTCTAATAGGGGCTGACCATCTCTGCACACATTGAAATTTCACACACACACACTGAAAGTCCATCATGAAAATGAGGCAAGAATTTGACCAGCCAGGAGTCTACTACAGGCTCAGGAGCCTAGAACCTCGATTCAGGAGCACAGGATGTGAGAAATCCTCTGTGTATAGCTGAATCTCCCAGAGGCTGTTGTTGCTGTTGTTGGGGTGCTATAAGCTTTTGGGGGTCAGTATCTTGATCCTCCCGTTCTGTTTTATTTTCCTCAACAGTTAAAAATTAAGTTTCTACCCTCCTCCTCTCAGCAAGGCAAACAACCTCTTCAAAGCAGGAGAAAGAGGAGTGACACTTTAAACAGGTGTCCCAGGGTAGCTGTGGGGACTCTGGTGTGGTGGCATTCTGAGCAGAGGTTTGTGCACACCTTGGTGCCAGCATTTTATTAATAAAGTTCATTTGGGCCTCGACACCTCGGATGGATGAGACAGCTTCCAGGTGCTTCACACAGCCAGTCGGCTTCCCATAGGACGCCATAGGGTTGGGTGCAGGTTTCACCTGAAAGAAAAGAAATCCTAAGAGTCAGTGCCTTCTGGTGAAGCCCGTGCCCATTCTGTGCCCTGGTCACCAGCCTCTGTGCCGTCACGCCATCAGCTTGCTCTGGGGCCCACTCCACTTCTGATCACAAAAGCCATCTCTAAAGTCCACACCATCACCGGAGGACCTCTGAGCATGCTGTGAGGAAGCTACGCTCCACTCCTGCAGGGAACTGCTGACTCCCCACACTAGCCTTCTCTGGGCCTCCTCTTGTACACAGGGCTCAGTTCTCCTCCTCTCTCTCCCTCCTAGCACTTGATGCCTGGGGGGCTGAGGGGCTGGGGTGGGGAGGGTCGGGGAACAACACACAAACTTTTTGTAAGGAGCCAGAACCACTGCCATTGAGGGAGTTCCAATTCATGGCAAACCCAAGTGTTACACCGTGAAGCCGCTCCATCTGGTCTTCTCGGCTGTCATCCTCACAGAAAGATTCCTGGTGGCACAGCAGTAAGGCACGTGGATCCGAACGGAAAAGTTGGCAGTTTGAACCCTCCCAGCCGCTACTTAGGAGCACAGGCCTGGCAGGCTGCTCCTTGACGATTCCGGCCTATACAGCCAAGAGGCAGTTCGACCCGGTCACAAGGGGTCTTTTGTGCTAAGAGCCAAAAAAGCCACTCAACAACCACAACAGCTCAGACTGTGAGACTGCCCAATATTGCTGACAGCGCTCTTCGAAGAACCAAGAATTGGATGCGAGAAGCCTCTGTGACCGCAGAAGCTACAAGGGGAAGGGCTGGCTCTTTATTCACTAGTAGAGGAAGATGCCGGATGTTGCTCTGTGTGCAGCCTGCATATCCTGGCCTCATGGGTACCTGCGGGTCACCAGCTCTTCCTGCATTCCTGCCAGCCCTCAGCAGGGCACGGTGCCTAATGTGTGCACACCCCCTACCCACGGACCGGTCCAAATGCTGATGCCACTAACAAGTCAACTACGCAGAAGCCTCGTGAAACATGGGGTGGGCAGAAGGGTCCTCCTAGCCTGACCATTTCATCGGTCCTTCAAAAAAGCAGCTGTCCCAAGAGGTCACTGCCCTCTATTTGTTGCTCTTATCAGTAGCTTCCGGTCCGACTCAGGATGACCCTATGCAGGGTGGAACAAAACACTGCCCGGTCCCACAGGATGCCTGCAGCTGGCTGTGGGTGGACAGACCGTTTTGTCCCAGGGGTTTTCTCTGGCCGATTTTCAGAAGTACAAGGCCAGGGCTTTATTCTGGTCAAGTTTAGTCACGGAGCACTGTTGAAAGCGATCGCAGCTGCACGTGAAATGCATTCACTGGGATTTGAAATGGGGCCACAGGCTCTGCAAGGAGACTCTGACCCCGGCCTGAGTCTAGGGTAAGTGAGGGGGGTCTGTTTTCTCCTAATCCCAGCCTACCTCCCGGGGGTCTACTGCTGCCAATGGCCACAGCAGGCTCCTTGTTCCAAAGACAAGATGGCAGGCACAGACCTCCCCAACCCCAGCACGACAGCAGACATTCCATGGGCTTCTAATTATATTCCCACAGGAATCTCTACCCACAGGAGTGGGGGGGAGGGGGGGCAGGCCTTTCTAAATGGCATATCCACACCCCCAGATACCCCCATCATTCCCAAACCTAAGAAGCCAGGAACAGAGGCAGCCCTCTGGGCGGGGACGGCAAGGCTGGCGATGCTGCTGCTTTCTCAGCAGCATCCCTCTGGGCTACACTTGTCACAGCTGCCAGTACCGCCCGCCAGAAGTGCCCGCATCTGCCTCGTCTCAGGGACTGCCTGCAGGGTGCAACAAAAGTCTCTCATCATAAACTGGGGGTACACTGAGGCCCACAACACCCGTCAGAAACTGCACGCCAGGCCAGCCAAGCTCAGAACAAATACAACAGGAATGCAAACGCCTTTTGAAATACAGAACCATTTCAAACCCCAGGTCCCTGCGCTCCTCTGAGCCAGCATTGCGCCCTTCTAATTAGCCTTTTTAAGTGCAGTTGGAAACCCATTTCTACAGATTTTATTCTTTTTATTTTTGCTGTCCGTTTAATTCACAAGGGCTTGTCTCGTGGATGTGAAAACCTCCCACTTGGCTGGGATCATAAAAAGAAGGCTGTCAACAGGAGTATGGCACTGCCTGCCCTCTCCTTCCTCTAAACGCCCTACCTGACTAGAATCATCTGGTAAAAATAGCCTGGCTGGTATGTTCAGGCGCAAAACCACAAGATGCAATCAGAGGATTGCAGGTGTGATCCTAAGAGGCAAGTGCCAAAAACCTGGTTTTCCTCTTTCTCTCCAGTCAAGCACAAAGCAACCCCAGGTCACCGCTCAGCCACATCCGGTTCCAGTGGAGGACACACCGCAATGGGGATGAGCTACATCTAAGTGGGAAAGATGACTAACTGGGAGCGTAAGATCACTGTGCAGAGAGGGAAGTTCTAAAAGCACTCACCTGAACCTAAAATTAGCCTTCACACTCCTGTCCTTTCGTGACCACTGACCTGAGACTGCACTCTTAATATGCTGTTCGGAATGGGGGGGAAGTAGGTAAATGCTACAGAACAGCATATAGGTTGAATAAAAGTGATGATTTGATATGTAAACCCCACCTAACTCAAAATCAAAACCTATTATTTTAAAGTAATGTAGTGTTAGCCATTTAATTTTTCTAAATCATTCCTAAATATCCAAAGTCATATAATATCCCTTCTAATCAAAAATAAAGAAAATTACTTTTGTCATTAGCAATCACCTGCCCCCACCACCAAAAAAAAAAAGTCACCACCAAAAATAAAGGACATAGGACATGAGCCCTCTTTATACAAAAATCATTTAAAAAAATAAATTTCACAGGTGTATGTACTCACACACAATCCAGTGGATACAGCTAGATAATGTAATTAGGCATAATTTTGTTTTCCCTTCCTATTATCTGTATTCCCTATAACATACATGACAGCTACGATAAGAAAAACTGTTAATCAGCGTGCCTAAATGTTCACTCTGTGCCTAAGAGCCGGAGGGGTCCTGGACCTCAGGGCTCACCCTCCCCCAGCTTCACTTCAACCGTGACAGCACCAACGTCTACAACGACCAAACCCACTGCTGTCGTGTGGAATCCGACAGACAGCTGCCTGGGATAGCTTTCTAGGCTGTCAATCTGTACAGAAGAGACTGCTACCTCTTTCTCCTGAGGGGTGGCCGGTAGGTTTGAACTGCTGGCCTGTCCGCTGGCAGCCAAACGCTTAACTCATATGCCTCCTGACTACAAACTGATCCCTGACATTCAGTTCTTCCAGACCAACAAAGAGTGCCTGAAGATGAAGCATGCGGAAAGCCTGCGGGAGACCGTCGGAACGGACCGTTAGAGAGGCTTCCTGCACAACGGAAGGCTGAACATGAATGAGTTACCAGCATCAACATACAGGTGAGGGGGGATGAGAGAGAGATTAAGGAGAAGACACAGAAATCAGTGAAACGGAAACGAGGACCAGAAAGAATCGAAGGAGAGGCAAGCTGGAGGTGATGAGATGTCTCCCACACAGAGGCCGCTCTGCCCACGCTGACCTCCACCCTGCCACTTAGCTGGCAGCACAGCCTGCCCTCCCCTGCCCTGTCTCAACCAGGTGTCATGGATGAGAGCCTGTGCCTCAGGAGAACTCAGGCCTCACTGGGGACACTGGGGAAGACATGAGAGACCACGATTTCAGAACAGAAAAGAAAGTCGCGTAGCCAGCACAGGTGACTGCTCGCTATCCCCAAAGAAAAAGGCTGCCCCAAACCCAGAACGTGGTCAGACAAAACAGTTCAGGAAGCTCTGGGAATCTACACCTTTGCTGGGCTGCAGGCGTGCTAACAAGAGACGTGACACCTGCAGAGGCCATCTGCTCAGAACATTGTTTACAGAAATGTGTTTGAATGTCAGTAAGGAATACCTCATGAGATTTCAGGAACACCACACTCGGCAGAAGGAAGCTCGAGCACCCAAAGCAGGACTCTGGCCGGCCGGGAGAGGGAAGCCCTGGTGGGTGGGATGGGATATTGCTAACAGTTGCTGCTTGGGGAATGGGGGTCCATGGGATAGACTCCCCCGGGAGCAAAAGCCACCATGTGAAGCGATCTGCAGTGACCAAGGTTGAGCAAATGAACCCACTGAGGAAGCCAGACTGCTGTGAACCAGCAAGAATCAAACAGACGATCTTAGGCAATGAAAACAAGAAAGCACGATGTTTGTGGCGGCCTGAAGATTCAGCACCTCGGTCCGTTGACCAGAAAAACACCAGCGTGTTTCTCCTATTTGACGGCTAACTCTAAGGCCGAAGGCCTGTCCAATCATGTAGAAGGTGGGAACAAATTTTTATTATTAAAATTAAGAGAATGATCATTCGGGAGGGAAAAGAATGACAAGAGAACCGTGACTATACACGTTGCAGCTGAAAGGATAATAAGAGAACATTATGAATAGCTTTAGGTCAATTCATTTGAAAACTTGGATGGAATGGACAAAACTCTAGAAAACCAATAGCCCATCAAAACCAACCCAAGAAGTTGGGCTGCTAACCCCAAGGTAAGCACTTTGAAGCTTAATTGTTCATTGGCTGCTTCTCAGGAGAGAGGTGAGGCTTTCTACACATCCAGTGAAGATGTGCAGAAGAAACCCATGGGGCCACTCCTCCTCTGTCCTCCAGAGATACTGTGAGTCAGAATCACCTCAATGGAGTGAGTGTGCGTTTTGAGAAATAGTCCTACCACTGTTAAAAGAGGGGAACACCAATAGTTTTAAAAGATTTTCACATGAGGAAACGTTAGGGCCAGTTCTAGAAACTTCCAACGAACATTTAAGGAAGAGGTAATCCTAATCTAATACAAACTATTCCAGAGAAAAGGAAAATAAGGAGCACACCGCAATTCATTTTATGACGCCAATAAAACTGTTATCGCAGGCTGAGCAGCTGGCTGACCAGAATATTACAGGAAAATGACCAGCTAATTTACATCATTAAGGGAGACAGCAAAATTAACAAACTGAATGCAACAATGGATTTAAGAAGATAACAGGTCCACACTCACTCTATCGCAGAAATGTAGTGTGTTTAACATTGAGAAATCAACAACTCTAAAGTTATCACCTTAACAGATTTTAAAACGTACTCGGTACTCTCAACAAGGCTAGAAAAGCACTTAATAAAATGGGACATCCATTCATGAACATTTCAGGGGCTGCCCAAAGAATGAACAAGTCTCTCTTCAAAGCAAGGACGGCAAGACTCCAACTTCCCAGGTCTGAGCTGCATTTCCTTCCACTATGCGTAAGGTTGCCACGAGTCAGGCAATGGCGACTAACAGTAACACGATTGCGAAAGCAAACCGAGGCCCTACGTGCAGGAGGACTAAAAGGAGACTCCCTACGGCGAACCTAACTCTCAGCTGTCACAGGCTGAACACACACCCTTGAAGATCAAGAGCGTCACAGGCCGACTGTCGTCACCACTTCCGTTTAACAAGGATGCAAAGGCCGGGACTATAAACGGACTGAGGAAATAAAGGTTTAAGGATTAGGGTAAAATTAAAGGTCTTGTTGCCTCAGGTTACATATAAAGCATATAAATGTGAGGTTCCGTATGCATATTCAATACACACATGCCCATACAACCCCACTCCCACGGAGTGGATCCTGACTCACAGGGACCCTACAGGACAGAGTGGAACTGCCCCCTATGGGTTTTAAAGAACTCACTGCCATCGAGTCTACAGGGTAGACTGGAAATCTTTACAGGAGTAGAAAGCCTTCTCCTTCTCCCACAGAGAGGCGGCTGAGTTCGAACTGCTGAACTTGTGGTTAGCCAGCCCAATGAGAAACCCACAATACCACCAGGGCTCCTGTTCATAGCCACAGGGAAGAAAAAAAAGGATAATTCTCTATATTCCCACAATTAGGAAGAAGAGTTCTGTAAATATCCAAGAGTAGTTCTACTTTGTAACACTTGGGAGAGCCAGGAGTCAGGTTCAACTCAAAGCAATGTCCCTCCTCTTGAGTCTTCCAGCTCTCATCTCTAAACTACATTCACCCCAGTGTTTACACTGTAGAATCAAGCATAATCAAAGTACACCCCTCACGCCTCCCAAAACCCACAGCTACAATCCTCATGTCAAGCTCGGTATCTGAAACCCGCTCCCACTTTTCCCCCCGTGAATCTGATTTCTCGGTGTGGTCTGGTTGAAGAAATTCAAACAGAAGCACCTCTGTGCTGGCTTTCTGGGTGCTTGGTAGTGGATTTTGAGGAGGGGGTCAGAGCAGACCCTGTCCGGTGGTGCAGAACCCCTCAAAGACCCCAAGGCTATGCACTTCGCCCAACGTAGAGACCTAAGAACGCCATGGACGGTGTAGTGGTGGTGGCCAAGGCAAGCCGTCTCATCAGCCTCCTACCCTGGAATCCACCCCTTACCTGTATTTGATATCAAACACTGTGGAGTCCTCATCCTCATCTTCTTCTTCATTCAGGGGGGCCATTTCCACCCGCTCCGCGGGAGTGGTGATGATGTCATACTTCCGGGTCTTCTTTAACCTCTTTCCCGACCTGCAAAGGGAGAAGACCTGCCATGAGAACACTGATTGGAGAGAAGGGGCCAGCCCAGAGCTTCACCAGGGAGAGCCTGTCACACACAGCTGGTGCTGAGTTAGGTTCCCTTAACCACGGGTTAACTAAGGGTAAGCACGGGGCTGCCGTGCCCACGCAAGTCACTGACCACGTGGAGATTTTCATGGAAACCCAACAAGGTGGCTAGCATGAAAGTTGAACTGAAAATCCCGCTCATTCATTGGCATGCAATTATTTAAGATGGAATGAGAAGATCATGGAATTGTTCCATAAACTGTCTCCATGAACTGTGGGTTCCAGCAGCTGCCTCCATTATGCGGCTCTCACGTTTCAGAATGGAAGAGGGAGACTCGTCACTCATTCAGTTATCACCTGCCCCATTCTGCGTGCAACGTCACCCGGATTTTTATGTTACTTTCATTTCTCCCCAAGCTGCCGCACCGTGGGAGGAGTGAAGCTCATCATGGGATCAGTATCTTGTACATTCAAACGTCGGCATCTCTCTCTGCAGCCGGGGACTTGCTGTCACCAGTCCTGTGACATGCTCCAGTATACATGTGCTCCTTAATAAATATTTTATGGTCTCCTTTAGAAATAAATAAACTGGATAATAATGGCACTTGTCCTTCTCCAGCCAGCCAGGAAGATGAAATGAGATGATGTGGTTAACGAGCCCATGTATAGGAGACGCTCCGCCACGTTCACTCTCACTTTACTGTCTAGGACTCAGGGCTCCTCTCAAACTATGGCCCGCCGAGGACATTTATCTGGCCCGCTGGGTGTTTTTGCCCCATTTGTTTATTTACTTCAAAATAAGATATGTGCAGTATGCATAGGAATTTGGTCATAGTAATTTTTTAAACTATAGTCCGGCCCTCCAACAGGGCTGAGGGACAGTGAACTGGCCCCGTTTAAAAAGTTTGAGGACCCCTGGTCTAGGTAATAACAATAAAACAAACACATAAACAAAAACCCAAATCTATTGCCATGAAGGAGTTCCAGTCCACGGCAGGGCCACCTGGTACAGAGTGGCACCACTCCACCATGTTTGCTTGGCTACAATCACTCCGGAAGCAGGTCGCCAGGCCTTTCCTCTTCCACGGTGCCCCTGGGTAGGTTGGAAATGCGAACATTAAGTTCATAGCCTAGTGCAAACTGCTTGTGCCACCTGTGTAGGCAGGTGCTTCTGAATATCCATGGGGAAATTCCATTATCTTTTCATTCCAGTATTCCAGGAACTTGAAGCCCCCTTTTATATTCTCTTTCGGATGGTAAGTCATTAAATTGTTTCTAAAGGTGGCGCTGGGTCCCAGGGGAAATGGTGAGGCACAGGGTAGCCTCAGTCTCAGGTGTAAAGCACTGCATGGTAAGGACCCACATTTATCAAGGCCTGACGGATGAGTTGACGATGCCACCTGGGAACAGTGCTATCATTACAGCCACGGGCGCTGCTATTTCTCTGCTCTCTTGGACTTTTCCCGTCTTGTTTAAAAATGTATATTCTCTGGTACCCCTCCTGTGCAAATAAGCTTATATTTTTATGCCTCATCTTCCTCGCAAGGGCTGACTGGTGAACTTGAATCGCCAACCTGGTGGTTAGCAGTCCAAGACTGAACCCACAGCACCACCGGGAGGGCTCCTTCAATGGGGGCACAAAAGAATAATATTCTCTCAATGTTCTTCTCAGAGTGGAGAGCACCTCACGGATACATGAGATCCCCGTGTCCCCAAGGCAGGGAGACTTATGGTGACTACAATCCCTGACCAGGTCCATGTCCTGAGGGGAACTGCAGTCCAGAATGGCTCTCACGGTCACAAGAAAACAAGACAATGCCCCCAAAAGTGTCCCCATCCTCAAGCCCTGATGTGCCAGGTGGGTCACCGCTGTTCCAAGAGGGTACTTGGCTTTGCCATGGAACAGGACTTGCCCCTGTTCCCCGTGGCCTGTGTCTGGCATGCCCATGACCAGAATACATTTGAACAGACACAAGGTGCCTTGGGAACGGGAGGTCTGGTGAGTCTGAGTGCCTGAGGCACCCCCCTGAGCACTACCTGAGGCTCTCCACCACTGGTTCTCATCTTCCTAAGGCCGCGGCCACCTCTACTATAGATCTTCATGTGGTGGTGACCCCCCCAACCATAAAATGATGTGTGTTGCTACTTCATCACTGTCTTTTAGCTACTGTTCTGAATCAGGCGACCCCTGTGAAAGGGTCGTTCAACCCCCAAAGGAGTTGCGACCCACAGGCTGAGAACTGCTGCTCCAGACCAAGGAGTCAGGCGCGCTGGTCATTCTTTGTCCAGTATCATAAAGCAAAGGCTGATGGGCACTCCTCTTGTATACTTTGAACACGCAGTTCCTGAGGCAGGAACCGCTCCTTCTAGTGGAAGGTTCCAGAGATTCTGGCTGCAGCTCAGCCTCATGCAGTAGACGGGTGCGCATCACACCTATGAAACTGCCTTCTTTACTCCTGAATGTTTATAGACTCTTGTGATCTGAAAATTAACTATAGAGTTGTTATTACTAAGCTCTGGCTCATGTTAAGGATGTGTGGTGATGCAGTGAGTTAATCACTGGACTGCTAACTGCAAGGCCATCAGTTCAAAGCCATTACAGGCACTATAGAAGAAGCATGAGGCTGTCTACTCCCATAAAGATTAATAGTCTCAGAAACCTCCAAGAGCAGTTCTACTCTGCCCCATAGGGCTGCCATGGGTTGGAACTGCTTTGATGGCAGGTTCCGGTTTGTGACCCACTGTGGCCTTACGTATAACAAGGCAACATTGCCTGGTCCTGTGCCATCGCCATGAGCACTGGTGTTGTTGCACCTGTTGTGTGGTACTTCCCAGTCTGTGCCCCTATCAGAATCATATCAGGCTACGTGCTCTTGTAACCCCTGATGTTTTTCTTTCTTTTTTTTTTTTTAATTATTTTATTGGGGGCTCGTACAATTCTTACCACAATCCATACATACATCCATTGTGTGAAGCACATATGTACATTTGTTGCCCTCATCATTCTCAAAACATTTGCCTTCTACTTTAGCCCTTAATATTAGTTGCTCATTTTCCCCCTCCCTCCCTCCCCGCTCCCCCCTCCCTCATGAACCCTTCATAATTCATAAATTATTATCGTTTTTCTTGGCAGATTCTCAGAGGCAGATCACTAGGCCTTTCTTCCTATCCCGTTTCCATCTGGTAACTCCACTGAAACCTGTCCACTATGGGTGACCCTGCTGGCATTTAAAATACCGATGACATTCCTCTCAGCATCCTAGGAACATGCAGGACACCACAGGACAGCACACTGACTGTACTCATGAACCCTTACACACTTACCCAGGGGAGACGCTGAAAATAAACATCGGCTTCTAGACTGCTGTGGCCAACCACGCTTCAGTGCCCATAGGGGTTGGCCAGCCTAGTCAAATATATGCCCTCAGAAAATCATTTGAAAACCTGTGATCACACCAGAGGCCATTAGCTCAGGCTCTACCACTTTTGATGTTATGAGCAAAGAAAGTACATGTCAAACAATCAGCTCTGTGAGACACAACACCCTGCACAAAACAAAAGCAATTCATGGTGCCTCATCCTTGGGCATGTTAATAAGGGGAAACTGGGATGTGTGAGAAGTTTAAAGACGCAGGCACGTTCTTAGCAAAGGGGTCCTGGAATAGAGACCTGGGAAGGGATGGAAAATCCTGCTGCATTAACAAGTGCTCTGTACAAAGGATGCTAGGGAGGCGGTGTGGGGCTCTTTGCACCGTTTCCCTCAAATTAATAGGTCTGCCCTTTCTGCACTAGCTGTGCACCGCTGAGAAGCTGGGTCACATGGGCACAGTCAGTCAGCACCTCCCGCTGACCTTCAAATCCCAGAGCCTGATTTCTGGGATCAGGGAAACGTGCCTTGCTGCTGCACAGAGTGAGAGTGATCATGAGATAATGGAAAAACAGACCACTCGTTGGTTGTAATTGCCGTCTTTATAAGAAGAGAAGAGAGACAGACACGTTCAAGGTCGATAGCTTTTCGAAGATGAAGGCAGGCATTGGAGAGATGGAGCTACAAGTCAAGGCACGCCCAGGGGTTGCCGGTCAGCACCAGAAGCTAAGACTGAGGCGTGGAACAGAGTCTTCCCTTCAGCCTTCAGAGGGCGCGTGGTCTTGTCCACGCCTTGATGTTAGGCTTCCAGCCCCCAGACCTGGGAGAGGATAAATTTCTCTGGTCCCAAGTCACCCGGTTTGTGGCACTTCCTTATGGCCTCTAGTCCTAGGGACCGATTAGAATAGATGGCAAATGGTCACCTGCGGTGAATCTCCAAAAGACACTCCCCAGGAACAGGCCAGGGCAGAGTGCTTTATAGAAAGGGGGGGCGGGATCCACTGCCTTGGGGGGCACTGAGCTCCCGTGTAAAAATTGTCAATGGATAATGGTGGCAGCCGCAAAACATGATAAGGGAGACTATGGCAGCAAACTGTACATGTCAACAGTGTTGAAACAGAAAGTGCTTTATTACATGGTTTAAACCTGCCGAGAGAGAAGAGAGAGAGAACCTTTTCTTCTTAACTAGAACACACGTATTTAACGAAACCGAGTAGCTCGAAACGCGTCTACTCTGAAAGGTGACCCTGGAGGAAGAGTTTGTTGACTCAAAAGGACGTTCAACAGGCTGGGTCAGCAAGAGGGTTCCCAGTGCGCTGCACTCCACTGCCTTTACAAACCAGCAGGCCACTGAGTCACCAGAGGAGCCAGCCAAGTAGACCAACTTAGAGAGAGTCTGCCCGGCCTCCTCCCAAGAAAAACAAAGCAAAACAAACAGAGCCGGCAAGGTTAGCCAGTATTCCAGCTCAGTTTTAAGGTGGAACGCTCAGAACCATCAAAGGACGTCCAGGCTGTGAGGCTGGAGTCTCCGTTCTGCGATTCCTTTGCCTGTGTCCTCTGGACAAGTCACTCGCTTGAACTTCCTCCTCCTCTGGGG